ACAACTTTGCATAATCCTTTCCAAAAACAAGAAAAGGGAACTCTATAATAGAACCCCTTCTTTTTTAATTATTAGTATGAGCAGCTGTTTTAATTATTGAATTGAGTTTTTATTTTTAATGATAGTATCCACTCTAAACATTTACAGTGCACACATTGAACTATTCTAATCATAAATTATATCGTAAAACTTAATTAAAATGATAATTTCACTATTCTAATAATAAATTATATCGTAAAACTTAATTCAACTATTAAAATGATAATTTCACTCAATAGTTAAAAAGGATATATCTTACGATAGAAATTGACCAAAAAAAAAAAACTTTGCATAATCACAATTACTACCTAAAGAAAAGACAGCCTTTTTGTCCTTTGCAGCTTTGTTATATGTACTACAAAGCCATAGTTTATTGTCTAAATTAGCAATTTTGGTGTGTTTTTTTTTCTTTGTAACGCAAATTCTTGGTGTTGGTAAAATTTAAACCCCGCTTATTTTATCGATTCGAGTTTTGTTACAGTAAAAAAATTTTAAAAACAGTCAAATTTAATTTTTTTTACTATAGTAAAAAACTCTCAAATAAAATCATATCTTAACTCAAATTAAAAATTCAAATCATCAAACTAAACAGACTCATACAAAAAGTTGAGAATTCAGATTCACCAGCAGAGAGACAGAGTTGTTAACAAATTTGTAATAGTGGGGAAAAAAATAGAGTTGTGCCTTAACATATGCTCAATTCATTCTTTAATTTCTTGAGGTCGATCATGGTTCATGATTCTTACTTTTGAAATTTAAATTTTTTATGAAAGAAAAACATTATAATAAAAACAAAAATTATGATTTAAACCTTACAGAAAAATAATTAATATTACAGCTCTTCCAAAAAAGAAATTGAAAAATATATCTTTTATTCCTTCCAGACAATTAGAAAATAGAAAAATAATTAATATATTAAAAGATAATTACGTATTTATAAATTACCCGTTTCAATTCATCCTATTTCACTGGATTCAAAATGTGATATGATTCCGAAGTATAAACTGGATATGAACAGTCTTAATAAGATTTCATATTTTTTATTTATTTTATCTATTCCGCGACCAAAAATTACTACAAAAAAAAAATCGGAGAAGAAACGAATTAAATATCAGTCATGACCAAGCAAGCAAAGTGGCAAATGGAGGGAGGGGTATGAAACGGCTTACACTTTCCAACAAAACGACAAGAAGTGTAAGTAACAAGAAAATTCCAAAAAAGAAAAAGACAGTAATAAATTTCCAAAGAGGGATAATTTAGGGCTTATTCTTTTGAGTGAAACAGTTACAATTTTATTCGAGTTCATATTTTTTTAAGTTTAAATTTGAGTTTAAACTCGAGTTCAAACTCGAGTTTAGGACTAAAACTCGAGTTTAAGTTTCACCTTCAACTCGAGTTCAGAAACTCGAACTCAAATTAATGAACAATATTTTTTCTATTCTTAAAAATGCTATAACTTTTTCGTTTTAATTCTGATTGAGATGATTTTTTTTTCTATGCGTTGACAAC